TGTTTCTGATCAATTATTATTTTATATTTGAATGTTTCTGTTAAATTCTTATTTTATAGATGAATGTTTCTGTTAAATTCTTATTTTATATTTGAATGTTTCTGTTAAATTATTATTTTTTATATGAATGTTTCTGTTAAATTATTATTTTATATTTGAATGTTTCTGATCAATTCTTATTTTATATTTGAATGTTTCTGTTCAGCCCTGAGACGATTCTGTTGTGACTTGGAGCTGAAGAAATAAACTGAACTGAATCTGATGAACCAGATTCTACAAAAACATCTCTATTTAAAATTCTATATTTTTCTTCATCATTTGATGTATTCGTCATGTCTGTGTTTATTCTTCAATTTAAATGTGTGGTTTTGTTTCATGCAGATTTTATTTGAGTGATTTAAAGTTTAATTCTCGTTTTGTGATCTGTTCATCTGTGGGTTTGAATAAAGTTGAACCAAAGGCTGTGTCTCTTCTTTAAACATGCTGGAGGGAAATATTCCTGAGATCCAATAATTTAGTCTTTTTATGATTTTTCAGCTGAGTTAACTTTAATTAACAGATTATTTAATTAAGGCAAAGTGAAAACAGGATTTCATGGTAAAGCTGGCACCGTTTATTCATGTTTGACAAGTTTCTGAGATCCAGTGACTCCGCCCCCTGACCAGCCAGTGACCGACAGTGTTCTGACGTCACGTTTAGGTGCCGACTCGGCTTGAACGGTCCCACCAGAGACGCAGGGACAATAAAAGGTCCTGAATCAGCTAAAAAGAGCTGTGGGATCTTTCCGTTTGAGGTACAGTGGTGGAAAAGGTGCTTTATTCTGAAATTGTTCCTCTTGTTAGACTGACTGCTGAGCCTGTGCCCATCTTTACTTCTGATAGACTCAGCCTCTCTAAAATCATTTTTAATACCAAATCCACTTATGGATTTATTGATAATTAATCTAATTAATAACAAAATGATCCTCCTGATTCAGCAACGTTCAATCAGGTCATCTGGATGGTTTCTTTTGTTGCCGAGACGTTTCGTCCTTCATCCGAAGGACTTCTTCAGTCTGAGGAGCCACCAAACCAAACTGAATCCCACCAGCAGCTCACTCCCAGAGCGGGAAAGGGTTGTGCTGTTGGTGGGATTCAGTTTGGTTTGAGCATGAACTTTGGAGATCCTCCTGATCTTTTCATTTTACTGGAACAGCTAATTACAGACGTTTTGCTTCAAATACTTCAAATTTTATTTCCCAAACGGTACAATGTCTTAGTTTTAACAGGTGATGTTTATTATCTTCTGTGAAGTATTTTGTGTAAGTATTCTCTAATGATTCTTACATGTTAACCAAGTGAATAAAGGTAGTGACCTTTACGAGCTCAGTGTAGCTTCTAGAACATCTGAGACGGACATTGGTCCCATCCTAAAGAGACTGAAGCACCGTGTGCGTGTTCTGACCCAGTCCAGATGGTTCTGGTCCACATGTGGTCATGCTTGTGTCTCACCTCGTTCACAAACACCCAGTGGCTGTCTTTGGAGGCCAAGTTGGTTTCCACCGCCTGCCAACACACAAAGAGACAAAGATCAATAAGAGTCGATCAATTAATGGAAGAACCTCTTCGATTGATTATTTTATTTTATTTAGAAATTTATTCATTTCATTAAAAACAAAATAACTATATTCAATAGAAAACAAAAAATATGTATACAATCAAAAACAAAATGAAAGGCAGCAGAAGAATAAATCTTATTTCCGTCCTTTTTTACTCAGAATATGTTCAAACAAAAGTAATTTACAAAAAAACAAAGTTAAATAAAAACATCAACTCAAACAACAGTTTGTAAAGATACACATTATACTTTTCCATATTCCTTCAGAAAACTAACTTTGAACATTTTATTAAATATGTACATAGATGTGTCAGTTTTAACATCGTCCTTCAGACCAGTCCTGTTCCCTGAATTATACTGGACCGCTCCGTCAAACTGGAACCAGACCAGCGCTTCACAAACACCTGTCACTTCAGATAATAACCACTCTCCTTTTAACTAAATGTACTTTTATATTTGAAGGCAGTGTGTTTCTGTGAGCCTTATACATAAACAGTCAAATATTATAATCAACCGTCATAGAACTTTAATATCTTCAGATGATAAAACACTGTATTTGATGGATGCTATAATATTTAGTGATAATTCTTACAGCTCTTTTCTGTAAATTAAAAATAGTGTTTGTAATAGTTTTACATGTTTTACCCCAGACTTCAGTACAGTAAATTAAGTGTGGGACAGTAATTGCATTATACAACATAAACAGTGTTTTATCATTGAGTAACTCCCTCACTTTGTACCGTACTGCAATAGATTTAGATATTTTTGTTCTTAAATTATTTATGTGAGGTTTCCATGTCAGTTTCCCATCAATGATGACGCCCAGAAACTTCCCCTCACTGACTCTACAAATCTCAACACCATCGACTCTAAACGGAGCATCGACACTTCTCTTACTGGTACTGAACATCATGTCATTTGTTTTATCAGAATTTAATGATAATTTAAGTTGAAATCAATTTTGTATTTTCACAAATTCTGTCTGTACCATCTCTAACATTCGTTCTATATCTTTCCCCGAACAAAGAAATGTATCATCTGCAAATAAAACACATCTAAACAGTCCTGATACATTTACCAAGTCATTTATATATAAAATAAATAACTTGGGTCCAAGTACAGAACCTTGAGGCACTCCACATGTGATGTTACAAAGTTCAGACCTTACATCATTTATTTGAACAAACTGTTTCCTTTCTTCTAAATAACTAGATACCCACTGTAATGCTCTAATACCATATTTATTGATCTTTTCAAGAAGAATACTGTGGTCAGTAGTATCAAATGCTTTCTTTAAACAAACATAAATACTAACAATACTTTTTTTGGTCAACAGCAGTTATTTGTTCTATTAATTCAATGAGTTTTTAGGTTTAAACTCATATTGACTGTTACTGAATAGATTCTGTTTATCGATAAATTGATCCAAACTAATCACAAATAATTTATCTAAAGTCTCTGAAAACTGTGGCAACAAGAATATTGATCTGTGATTGTTAAACACACGTTTGTCACCATTTTAAAAAGAGGAAATACCTTGGCTATTTTCATGTTTGGAAATATTCCTGTTGATAAGGATAAATTAGAAATATATGTAAACGGCTCAATAACACAATTCATTATATTCTTTACAAACATCATGTCCATGTCCACCCGATCTTTGGATCTTTTGTCTGCAAGATTTTTTACAATATTCATTATTTCTTCTTTGGCAGTTCCATCAAGAAAAATACTGTTGGAACAACCCGTAACAGTACGATTCACATTTTTATCTACTTTTAGTATTTTAGTTACGAGACTCCAACATTCATAAAATAATGATTGAATCCATTTACAAATTCTGATCATGGATTTCTTTACCGTCCTTTACAAAATACTGTGGAATACCTGATTTTACTTCATGATTTTTCCGACACTATTCATTATTTGCCATGTTGCCCTCATATGAACATTACTTTTGTCTAATAAATCACTGTAATATTCCTTCTTATGCTTTCTTATAATCCACCAACTTATTTTTATATTTCTTGTATCTCTCTTCCACTCCTTTTGTTCTTAATTTCAGGAAGCACGAGTACAAGTAGTTCTTTTGTTACAAGCATTTCTCAACCCTTTGGTCATCCATGGTTTGTCAACATCTTTCTTTGTGTAATTATTTTGCACACAATTCTTTTCGTACAGAGCTCCTGAAATATTCATAAATACATCATATGCTCCGTTTACATCAACAACATACACGTCCTTCAATTTTGTTTTCTTAATTGTCTTAATTTATCCAAAGCTTTTTGTGATGTGTTTATTATTGTTTTAATTATATCTACTTGTATATTGCATTGATCATTTTTATAAATTGTGAAAACTGGTAAGTGATCACTTACATCAGTAATCAAAATATCACCCATTATCTCTTTATTTGTTATATTAGTAAAACTATTATCAATTATTGTAGCACCATGGGTAGTAATTCTTGTAGGTTTTGATATTAATGGATAAAGATTTAAACTGTACATTGAGTTTATAAATGTACCGACATTATTTGAGTCACTTTTATTTCCCAGGTCAATATTCAAGTCTCCACACACGAAACTGTTTTGTTGAAACTTCTCTAGTAGCTCCATGACGTGATCAGTGAATAGCTCTATATTTGAATCAGGTGATCGATATACACAACTTATGTTTTAGAATTTTTATTTAATATTTCAAGTGTAATTATTTCCATAATATTACCTACAATTACTGACATTTTATTAATTATTTTACATTTTATTTCCTTATTTATAAGTAGAGCTACTCCACGCCCTCGTTGTTTCTGTTCATATGATAAAGTTCGCACCCCTCAGCGTTGACACTGAGCAGACGAACCGCTCCAGCTGCCGTCGTGCTGAACACAAGCTGGACGCAGAACCAACGGACAATCCACCTCAAAGCACAGAGCGAGCTACCAGAGTGTCACTCCTTCTGGAAGGCACGGTTCTGGCTCGAGTCGGAACAATACAGATCTGGTCCAGCTGATAAAACCCGTTCGGGGTTCTCAGTTTTATACGTTGTAGCTGAGAGGAAACAATTGAACAATTAAAACTGAACCCACAATGTTCCCGGTAAACGTCGGCTCTACATAAAGTCCACCCTCCGTCTTGCTGGAAGCTGCAGCCAGCTGACGGAGTAAAACATGAAACCACGTGGGGGTTCTGCCTTCAGGCTCCAAACGGAGCAGCATCGTTATCAGATGAAGAGCGAAGCCAGGTCCAATCTAAAGATCTGAGCGGAGCAGGAACAGATCACACGATAAACAGGAAACACGGACAAATGGGAAGCGTCGGCTCTGAACACAAACAAACCTGAGCCAAGACACGAGCGAGCTGCTGCTCAGCGCACAAACAGAGCAACACAACACAGACAGAGCAACACAACACAAACAGAGCAACACAACACAGAGCAACACAACACAGACAGAGCAACACAACACACACAGAGCAACACAACACAA